CCTGCCCCTTGAGTTGGCATGGTCTGGCACTGAGCACCACCATAGGTGACATGGAAGTACATAGTTATAATTAGGCAGTGCAGTGCTGGGCTCCAGTGAATGAGAGTGACAATGGACAGCATTCATTAATTCATTCACCAACCCATTCCACAAATAATTATTGAGCATCTACTGTGTGCTTTCTAGAAGTACAGTGCTCAGTACCGGGAATACAAAAATGAACAAACATGAGCTTGCTCTCAAGGGTCTTAACTCTAGTGGGTGGGAGTGAAATAGATACATTCAGTACAGTGAGGTAATTCTTGTGTAGGAGTATGTGGAGTGTCATGGGAACACATAGGAGAGACAGTTAATTGAGCAGGGGGTGAGTGGTACCTGAGGGGCAGCTTTCCAAAAGAGGGGAGGATAGATTTTTACCTTAAAAATGAATTCCTGGGGGCGGGGGGGAGAAATGGATTGCCTCAAACCCTTCCTCTTAAGGTTTTTGTGTTTTTTTCTTTTGTGATTTAATATCTCTATCTGGCTTGTGTCTCTTTGGCCTTTGCAGCCTTTGTGCCTGTTGTTCTTTGTATAATAATTTGTATCCAAGAGGAGAAACAGTAGCTTATTTTAGGTTCTTAGAAGTTTCGCTTTGAAGGCTCAAAAGAAAGAGGTGTGAAAAATCAAATCATCTGGGTTAGAAGCACTTTTGTTTTGTTGGTACCCAAAATTAGGACTCTAAGATTCTTGTGTACTCAGATAATTTTTACAGGAAACAAGGACACATTTGCATATGAAATGAAAATAGTTATCACAGTGACAAAATATGTAGATCAGATTTCTAGAAACTGAATTCTTTAGTCCAAAACAAATAAGACTAGGCAAATTGGCTAAACAAACAAACAAACAAAAAACTTAGCTCTTGAATATTGCCATCATCATCCCAAGTATTCTTATCTCTTAGGTGAAAAATTTCCATTACTGTTTTGTGATGTTCTAAAATTAAAAGATAGTGTAGGATTTTACCTATTCCAAAAGGAAAACACCTAAATTCAGTATTTCAATGAAGTATTCTTAATTTGTTTCCTTACCAACAGATTTTTAAATTATTTTTTTGTTGTCAATAACTCTCCCTAAAATGTAATCCAAAGTGGTTTATAATGTAAATATTCAGACCAAAGTATAAGGATCTCTTTTCTGCAGCATGCTGTATATTAAAAAAATAAAAATTTTAGTTTAAAAAAATCATAATATATTTTTTACTTACTTAAAAGCACTGCTTAATTAATTCTGTTAGGTGTTTGCCTAGTCCCAAATAAACATCTCAGAATTTTAGCTTCACAACTGTTAACGTCTGATTATAATATGATTTCCCATTGCCTCTAATTATAACGTGATTTAATAGTTTGATTTAGTAAATACAGTTAAGACATTGGTTTTAAGCATTTGAAGATCAGGATTGGCTTTGTGGTTAATTTCCTATCTCAGTGTTGCTAAGGATAAGTCATTTCTAAGTACCATTTTAAATCTATAAAAATTGTCATGGCCAATATTTGAGGGTTGTTAGATCCTTATAATGAGTTATTGTTTCTCTTATAAATTCAATATCACTTCTTTTTATACATTCACCAAGCTAGTCTGTGACCTACACATCCTGTGGGTAACTAAAATAAAGGAAAGACAGAGGCAACTGAATTATAAGAATATAGAGTCTCAGAAAAACCAAGGATGGGAATGCCACTGGGCTTCAGGAAAGATGGTGGAAGTGGGAGCAGGCAAACCCTAGGGAATCCAGCTAGCATATGTTCTCCATCTCCTATCTCTGCTTCTCTGTGTCTTTAAAAATCTTGCCTCTCTCTGCCAACTGGCTCATGTGCTCCTCAGTTCATGTGATGGAATATGGTCTGAGTTTACTTGTTCACTGGTTTAGTGACAGAGGGAGACATTGCTCCTTCTTAGCCTTAGTTCCTGATTCCTAGAGAGGGGACCATGACTTGTTTTGGCTTAGATGCCCAACCCCGGTCAGTCTTGGGGAGCAGGGTTATAGAGTGGCTGCAGGGGACCAACTCTTTGGGGGTGTGTGTGTCATTATGAGCTCAGTACACCCACCCTACAAAAGGTATCCTATAGGTATATAGTAAGAGCAATAGCATCACTAGATTATGGTCATGTCCCATCTCAGAAAATTATGGGGAGGAGGGAAGCTAGGGGTTGGTTGAGTAAAGGGCTCTTTTATCATAACCATGTAAGGAAAAAACCCTGTTGCGTCTATGACATTTTGATATAATATTCCATTTTCTTTGTAACAGGTTAGTGGTTACTTGGATGATTGTACCTGTGATGTTGAAACCATTGATAAATTTAATAACTACAGGCTTTTCCCAAGACTTCAAAAACTCCTGGAAAGTGACTACTTTAGATATTACAAGGTATTTAAAACAATTTTTTTTTGGTATAGGAACACTTAACGTTTAAATGGGTAATTACATTTTCTTAGAAATCACTAAGCTTCAAAATTGTGCTTATTATTTAAAATTGAGCAAGGCTATATTAGGAAAATGCAGTTCACAAGAATGAACCATATGGTTGTAAAATGACCCATTGGATACTTTTAATTTCAGTAATTGAGTTTTGAACACTAGAGTTAGAACCTAGTTGGTCAAATTGAAGTCAGAACAGAAACTGTTATATCGTTATCAAAGTCATGAGTTGTTCATCACATTCTAAAACATCAGATTTACTCCAATTAATTTAAAAAGAGAAATATTTTTGAGAAGAAGCATGACTTTGTTGTGACCTGTATTGTTCTAACAAGTCACTTGTGACATTTTATCTTGAGATACCTATTGAAAGAGTTTAGAAAACCTCATCATTGGAGTATGTAGTTACAATCTGAGTTCACAATTGTCTGTTAGCTGTTACTTTCATTAAAAGACTGTGAGTTGAAAAAGAAAAAAAAAAGAAGACTGTGAATTGAGCAGTGATAACATGAGCTACTTTGGCTCCCAGTTGCCATCTGTTCAGTCTGTTTAGTAGCAGAGTTTGTCTTTTTAAGCAAGTCTACCAATTTATTCATACCAGCTACACACTTATACCACCACTGAAACTTGACAGCTGGGTGGTGGAAGAAATAGAATAATTGTAGCCGATAACATGACCAGGTTATAGTATCATAATTCCACATCTGTCTGTTATAATCTCAAAATTCTTACTTTTTTCTAATATTTTATTTTACAGGTAAACCTGAAAAGGCCATGTCCTTTCTGGAATGAGATCAGCCAGTGTGGAAGAAGGGATTGTGCTGTCAAGCTTTGTCAATCGGTAAGAACAGTGTATATGTTTAAGAACTGTCACATGTTTTTTTGAATAATTGCGACTTTTGAAAGGGGCCAGTATAACTGAAATAATATTTCAATCCTTAGGTTAAATATAATGTTTAAAATTAACATATTAAAAACCTAAACTTACAAATATAAAACCTATTTTGAATTATTCTGTCTTCATAATAATAGAATTTAAATTTTGTGGTTAATATAATCCTTTGATTTATTACTGAGATTAATAGTTCTTTTGGCTTGATATTTGTTTTTCTTCTTATGTCTTACGCAAAGTTATGTTTGTAGTATTAAAAAAAATGAAATTAATTGAGGTACAAATAAAATCTCTCCCTTTTTCTGTGGATGTATTAATTTTCTTCCTTGGGGAGGGTCTGGACAAAACCACTGGCTTTACTTAGGAATTCTCAGATTGGCTGCCCATAGAGGCTGGACTGTCTGTCAGTCGAAAGGCCAGTTGTTTATCCCCTTTACAGTGAATCAGAACAATGTTCTTTCACTTCCATTATTAATTGGCCAATGTGAGAAAGAAAAACAGTATCCAGTGTTAGTCCGGGAATAAGAAATGAGCACTCTGGTGGCTAAGTCTTTTTGGAGATCAATTCAGCAAATGTATCCAAACAATAAAAAAGGTACATATCCTTTGACCTAGCAATTCTGCTAAGAATTTCACTTACTAAAATAATTAGAGAGATGTCCAAAGTTGGCCATAAAGCAATACTGAATATTGTAAAGATGTCAGTTCTGCTGAAATGTCTATAAATTTGGCATAGTTTATTATACGAAAAAATTAGAAACCATCTAAATATCTGGTCATAGGAAAAGACTATACATTGACCTAGTTCAGAGTATAGAAGAGTACACAATAAAGTGATTGTCTCTGTGTGGGTCCTTCCCTTTGGGCAGGTGTAATCTATTTCAGAAATGTACTGAATATACTTAGCATTAGAATAGGACCCTGCAATTTACAGAGCTCTCCCACATACATCATTATCTCTACTCACAGCATCACTTTGAGGATAGGCAGATAGGTCCTGTGTTATGAAGTGGCCAACACACAACTAAAAACTAGTACCATTTTCTTCTGAAAGAGGAAAGCGCCTTAAAAAATGGTTGATTCCAGGACTGGAACAAGAAATATATAAGATGAAGCTGGAGTATCTTGTCATAACAGAAAACAAAAAGGGCTGTTAAAGATTACTGGGGTAATATAAATAAGACACAGGTGCAGATAAAGACACAGGTCAGATAAAAAAGACACAGGTCAGCACTTAGTGGGTCTTCTAGTGGCCAAATGTGGCACAATTTGAGCATTAAAAGGAATAATGGCGGGCTTCCCTGGTGGCGCAGTGGTTGAGAGTCC